GGCGGCGTCGGCGCAGTGCGCGGCATTGTCGCCGCGTGTCTGCTCGGGCTGATGGGCGAACTACCCCTCGACTCGGCGCGCATATACAGGAAGGTGATGGAGGGCGCGACGGGGGTGGAAAGGTCGGCGCTTGCGGAAGCCGGCGGAGGCGTCTGGGCCGTCGAGGTGGCATTGCGCGCCATGGCGGACGGCGCGCAGCCCAGCGTCGAGATCGAGGAGATCTCGATCGGTGTCGTTGACAACAACAACAAATCGAGGCTGAGAGTCGTTAGCGCGGACAAGGCTTGCCTGTTGAAGGATAGGTCACTGGAGAGGAGATCCCGATCTTCGCCGAAGAGTGGGGGGGCGGCGGCGGAGAGCGGGAGTAAGCGGCGGAGGGAGAGGGAGGAAGATGAGAAACTAGGAGAGGGTGGGAGTAGCAGGTCCGGTGATAGGCTGCGGAGCAGCAATGCGAGCGCCAAATGTGGCGACAAAGAGGGACCAGCGGTATCGACGACGACAGGAGGACTAGGGCCTTCTCCTCTGTCGCTATGTGGTACAGCAGCCGCAGCAGCAGCAGCAGGAGGAGGAGGAGGAGGAGGAGGGGGAGGAGGGGGCGGCGGAGGCGGGCCCCTGATCGTCCGCGCTACTGCTGGTGGGGTTGGGAGTGGAGGCGGCACAGGCAGCGGTATTAGCGGCGGCGGCGCGACGGCGGGAAGCGGCGGAAGCGGCGGATCCGGCGGCGCAAGAGGAAGCGGAGGGGGGAAATGGGTCGTTGAGGATGAAGAAATCAGCGGCGTGCATGACTTGGAGACGTTGCTTATGAAGAAGTCTTTCCGAGAAACGCAGCATTCGAAAGCCGGTGAAGAGCTGCTGGAGCTGCTTTGTAAGCCGACAGCCAAAGAGAGCGCTGTTGCCGCTAAGGTACCTCCCTCCTTTCTTCCTCGCCTCTTCTATTTACTTCTCCATCTGTCATCCTACTCTCTCCTCTCTCCTCCTCTCTCCCCCTGTCTCCCCCCTGTCTCCCCGTCTCCCCCCTGTCTCCCCCCTGTCTCCCCCTGTCTCCCCTTGTCTCCGCCTTTTCTTCCTTCTGTCTTTCATCCTACTGTCTCCACTCTCTTCGTCTCTCCTCGTCTCTCCTCCTCTCTCTCCCTCTCTCTCTCTCGCTCCTCCTGTCTCCCGCTGTCTCCCCCTGTTTCCCTCTGTTTCCCCCTCCTCTTCCTTCAGTCTTTCATCCTACTGTCTCCACTGACCTCCTCTGTCCTCCTCTTCCCCCCTCTCTCTCTCGCTCCTCTCTCCTCTCTCCGCGTCCTTCAGTTCCTTTCTCCTCGTTCTCGTCTTCTTGTTAGGCGATTCCTTCATATGGCCACTTTCGTCCTCCACTGTCTCCTCCTCCTCGCTTTCTCTTCTTTCTCCTCTTCCTGTTGGTGGTACCTCCCTCCGTTCTTCTTCACTTTTCCATCCCTCATCCCTCTCTCTCCTCCTCTCTCCTCCTCTCTCCTCTCTGCTCCTCTCTGCTCCTACTCTTCCCCCTCTTCTCTCGTCTTCCCTCCTTTTCCTCCTCTTCCTTCGCTGCGTTTCTCCTCTTTCTTTTCCTGTCACCTGATTCCTTCATGTCAATCCTTTCTTCCCCCAATGTCTCCTCCTTCCTCTGCCTCTTCCTCCTCTTCCTTTCCTTCCTCCTCTTCCTCCTCTTCCTTTCCCTCCCCCTCCTCTGCCTCCTGCCCCGAAAAACCTTTTGACTACGAACTGATATCTACATTCCAATGGAGCAAGTACTTATGCCAGTGACAGTGAGGTTTACCTGCCTCCTTCGTTTCTCTCATTCCCCATCGTTTCCTCCAGTCCTCCCTCTTCGTCCCTCCATCCTCTTCCTCTTCCTCCTCTTCCTCCTTTCTTTCCCATTATTTCCTCCATATTAATTCTTTCTTTCTGCCCATCGTCTCCTCCTCCTCTCCTCCCTGTATACTTTTTCATTTCATCCAGTTTTTCTCAGTGGTGTATATCTGATTATTCTCCCTTTTTCTGGGAAAATACTTCTTGCGCCGTCCTTCTTTCTCTTCTCACTCTTCTTCTGTCTATTTTTTTTCTTTTCTCTTCCTCTGCCTCTTCTTCATCTTGCTCCCCTGTTTCTTCCTCCCCCCTCCCCCCCTTCCCCCCCTCCCCGCGGCCTCCTCTTCTGTTCTTTCGTGCCCTTTCGTATGTTCCACCTCTGTTTCTTCTCTAGTCCATGCTCTGAGGAAGGAGTAGAGGCGGAAATCGGATCGGTGATAGGGACATGCACGTAATTGGTACACAGCGAGATGAAACAGATGACGAGTTGGAATCCTGACGAAATCAGATTTATACTCCAGATTCAATGTACGTAATCAGATTTAGACTCCAGATTCAATGTCATTGAACGTCCTTGTGGTTTTATATTCCTACTCGAATCCAATCCAATCCGTGCACTAAGTAAAAGGACCAAGGGGAGGACATGAACGCAAGTGAAGGACATGAACGCAAGTGACACCGTAAGAAGCTGAATCGAAGAACACACACGTTGAGCTGTTGATGAACAGATGGATGCGATGTAGTAATGTGAGGGAGGAGGGCAAGGGGGACACTGTAGCTGAATCGAACACACGTTTAGCTGTTGATGAACAGATCATGAGGTCTGTTGTTGATGAACAGCTCATGACTTCGAATCGTGATCGGATCAGATGGATACGATAGTATGTTTGGGCGATCCCCCATTTTCGGCGAAAAAAAAGGGGTTTAGCTTACTTCTTTTTCTTTTTCTTGTTTTGTCTTTTTCCGCCTTTGCGCTCCGATTTCCAGTGTGACAATATACCTACCTTACGGTAAAAAAAAAAACCGAACTCGAACGATAGTTTTAACAAACTAACCTATAGTTAACCACTTAACCACCACTTAATCCAGAGCTTGTGAACTAATCTATAGCTAACCACCTTAAAAGGAAGAAGACTATAGTTTGACAAGTTAATCTTTTTTTTTTTTTTTGACAAGCTAATCTATCTATACAGTTAATCACTTAACCTATAGTTAATCACTTAACCTATAGTTAATCACTTAACATATAGTGCACTATAGTTTGACCTTTAGACAGGAGCTATAGGTCATTAACAAACTTGAATTGCTGACCAATAGCTATTGCTCAAAGCAGCCGGGAGCTGCGGTCAATTTTTTTTATTATTTTTTTTTTAAATTGGCCCGATGGACCACGGATCAGATATTAATCTGTTCAGAACAGATACAATGCACTTGATCTATTTTTAGCCAAAAGGCCGAGAAAGGTAAGCCACTCTCAGGGCCTCTCAGGGTCTTTCCTTGTAATCTATAAGCTGGATAGTTAATCACTTAACCTATAGTTAATCACTTAACCGATGATGCTTGAAGTCGGTTAGTTTTTTTTATGTTTTGAGAAAATTACGTCGCCGTCAAGGTAAATTTTTTGAGTTTGACAATGCACTTGTCAATGAGGCAAAAGGGCCGGTAAATTCTGGGGAGTGTATACAAGCTAGGTTTCGGGTCCGGTGGGGTCACGTGGGGGTGTGTTGTGTTTGTTCGTGGGATTGCCTGAAGTGCATTTTCAAACTGTTTTCGTGATTGCGCCGAAGTTCTTTCCCCCCGTTTTTTTTTTTTTTTTTTTTTCGAAGTCAGTTTCTTACCGGGGTTGCTTGTGATGTTCCCCGGCCTCGGTTCCAATTATGTAATGGAATGTTGATTTAACAAAAGGAAAAAACGAATTGCTGATTAACGTACAGACAGTAATTAACTGTAAGATAAGATAGTCGCATGATCATCACTCTTAACTATAGTTAGCTACTATAGACTATAGATCGTCAGGTGGTAACTAGGAAGGTTTCTACCGGCTTTACCCGAATAGAACGCCCGGTGATTATAGACGAATTTGGGGCAACTTTCGGTCGAGGTACAGCAATAATACCGGCTCGAGAAACAGCAATAATGTGAATCTGATTGCCTTGCTGAATGTTGTAAATTGATTAATGTGTTTGAATTTATGCTGCCCAAAGGGATAATTTTTTTACTAAATTTCTTGTGGGTTGTTGATTTTGCTGTGGGTCGATTTACTGTGGTTTGCTTTTGCTGCCCTGGGTGTGTCTGGGGTTTACTCTTGCATTTGGGTCGGCGATTGTAGTTGTCGTTGGGTAATTGTGGGTGTGGGGTCGGTTGCCTCTGTGTGTGTGTGTGTGTGTGTATGCGCGCACGTGCGCGTTTGTTCTGTGTGTTCTGTGTGTTCTCTGTGTGTGTGTGTGTGTGTGTGTGTGTGTGTGTGTGTGTGTGTGTGTGTGTGTNTGTGTGTGTGTGTGTGTGTGTGTGTGTGTGTGTGTGTGTGTGTGTGTGTGTGTGTGATCGGTTGGGTAATTTTAGTTGGGTGGGCGATCGTAGTTGTCGTTGGGTAATTGTGGGTGTGGGGTCGGTTGCCTCTCTCTCTCTCTCTGTGTCTGTGTGTATGCATGCGCGTGCGCGTTTGTTCTGTGTGTTGTGTGTGTGTGTGTGTGTTCTGTGTGTGTGTGTGTGTGTGTGTGTGTGTGTGTGTGTGTGTGTGTGTGTGTGTAGTTGTCGTTGGGTAATTGTGGGTGTGGGGTCGGTTGCCTGTGTGTGTGTGTGTATGCGCGCGCACGCGCGTGTGTTCTCTCTGTGTGTGTGTGTGTGGTCGATGGGGCTGAGTTATATTGTGGGTGTTGCTGCGGTTTAGGTGTATACTGTGCGTTTAGACGTGCAATTGTGGGTGTGGAGAGTTCAGTGTGGGTGTGGTGAGCTCAGTGTGAGTGTGATGGTGTAGTTTGGGTGGCTGGTTTGCTGTGGTTCGTTGATTTACTGTGGTCACGACTGGGGTTACTGTCCGTGTGGCCGGACTAATGTGGGCGTGGTTTGTTGTTAGTTCCGAGTATGGTGTGGGTTGATTGTGTACTACGGATGGGGCTGATTTACTATGGGTTGTTGTTGATTTACTGTGGGTGCGGCTGGGGTTTACCGTGCGTTTATTTAGATGGGCGATTGTGGGTGTGGCGGCTGCACTGTGGGGTTCGTGATGGTATAGTTTGGTTGGTTGGTTAACTGTGTTTTGTTGATCTTCCAGCGTTTTTCCCCCGGCGTCTGGTTTGACCATTGTGTGTGAGGTTGGTTCATTGTGGGTGTGGCGTCGGGTCACTATGGGGGGTGTACTTTGCCTTTGAACGGTTGGTGTACATTACTGTGGGTGGGTGAAGTTCAGTTTAAGACAAAGGGTGGCTCAACGTTGAAGGAGTACTGCCCAGCTCTGACAAGAGAGGATTGCATACGGCAGCGACGTGGTTTGGGCGCATGTACGAAGATGCACTTCCGGCGAATTATCTCTGGGCACACCGATGTTAATCTTGGGGATTGCTCGTTCCTCGACACCTGCAGGCATATGAAGGTATGCCGATTTGTTGGGTTTGTTTTATGATCTGCCTTCGGCGATTCTTCAATGCAATAATAGTGCTCGGGCTTGCACCTCCAGCACTTCTTCTTCTTCTTCTTCGTCGTTGTTGTCGTCGTCGTCTTCTTTTTCTTCTTCTTCTTCTTCTGCTGCTGCTCTTTGGTCTGCTTCTTTTCTCGTCTTCTTCTTCTTCTTCTTTTTCTTCTTCTTTTTCGTCTTCGTCTTCTTCTTTTTCTTTGTTTGTTATCTGGCTTTCTCTTGTTTTCTCCCTCTTTCCTTCTTGTTGGATACCTTTTCTTCTTGCTCCAGCCATTTTTCAAAATTTGCACTCAGTGCTTACTCTGCCGAGTCTGCTGACCTGCTGGATTCAGCATTTTCTTCTTCTTCTTCTTTGTCTTCTTTGTCTTTGTTTGTCATTTGGTCTTCTCTTGTTTTCTCTGTCTTTCCTTCTTGTTGGGTTGCCTGTTCTTCTTGTTCCAGCCATTTTTTCAAATCTACATTCAGTGCTGAGTCTGCTGACCCGCTGGCTTCAGCATTCTGCATCTGATGGAATGGCAGCAACACTCTTTTGGCTGTTCGATCACAGGCATGTGATGCACCTTGCCACACATGGCTGAGACCAAGTCTACCGTGGGATCGTGCCCCCAACAAATATAGTCAAGAAAACGATGCTGCACGGGAAGCTTCTGCCTTGCACCACTTTCTTCCGGTTGCTTCTGCCACCGTCTTATGTCTCTTTTTCTTTGTGTACCTCTTTGTTACGTGTGTGTGTGTGTGTGTGTGTGTGTGTGTGTGTGTGTGTGTGTGTGTGTGTGTGTGTGTGTGTGTGTGTGATTTCAGACTTGTAAATATGTACACTACGAACTGGATATGACTCCGAACACGAGAACGGAAATCGCAGCTCCTCAAAGGTACGCAGTTGCTTCATTCTGTCGTTGTGATATCATTCATTATGTCTGTGTGCATTGTTTTTTTTTGTTGTTGGTGTGTGTGTGTGTGTGTGTGTGTGTGTGTGTGTGTGTGTGTGTGTGTGTGTGTGTGTGTGTGTGTGTGTGTGTGTGTGTATGTTTGCTTTTACTAATGGTATACCTGTTCATATTCATGGCATTTTTGGCTGGATCTTGTTGTGCACGCTTGTTTTGCTTTTGGTTATGGTACCCACTTACATTTGCGGCATGTCTGGCTGGTGTTCCTGTATCGTTTTCTTAAAACGAGGAGCTTCTTCTTTGAAGATAAATTTCCATGATCTGGACCTGGTGCCGTCTATTCTGTTCTGTATTGTGCATGGTCTATGGTCTTAGGCCATCCTCTCACTACTAGTTTCCATGGTGGTATCTGAATGGAATTACGTGCAGATTCATTAAATAAAGATCTGTTACGTCTTTAGTTGATTCCTTGGTCTTTTATTGATGTCCGCTCTATCGTCTGTTTTGCTATTACAAACCTGCCTGCCAAGTCCTTCCCTCTTCACCCGATACAGTGCCCGGTCATTATAGCGGTATTGCATTGAGTGGCAACGTTCAGTCCAAAAGAAAATGCAGAGGCAGCGGCCCGGCGTTCTATTCAGATGAAAATGGTTGGCACATGATCTAGGGTGTGGAGTCCTGAACTTTTTCCCAAAGTCCTAAGGGCGGCACCGGGGACTCAGTGGCATACTGCTCACTTTGTTCTGCATGGCGAGAAATGGATGATGAGCAGGGATGTAGCCAGATGAGATCCAGATCAGACCAGACCAGATCAGACCAGGCCACCAGACCAGACCAGGCCACCAGACCAGACCAGACCAGACCAGGCACAATGTTTGTCCTGCATGGAGAAGAAGTGGATCATGAGCAGGAATGAAGTTATATGAAATCCAGACCAGACCAGGCCAGACCAGACCGGACTAGGCAAAGTTTTTGTCCTGGATGGACAGCAGTGGATTATGAGCAGGGATTAAGTTATATGAGATCCAGACCAGACCGAACCAGAACAGGCACAATATTTGTCCTGGATGGACAGCAGTGGATTATGAGCAATCCAGACCAGACCAGGCCAGACCAGACCAGAACAGACCAGACCAGACCAGACCAGACCAGACCGGACTAGGCAAAGTTTGTGTCCTGGATGGACAGCAGTGGATGATGAGCAGGGATTAAGTTATATGAGATCCAGACCATACCGAACCAGAACAGGCACAATATTTGTCCTGGATGGACAGCAGTGGATTATGAGCAGGGATGAAGTTATATGAGATCCAGACCAGACCAGAGACCAGACACAATATTTGTCCTGCATGGACATCAGTGGATTATGAGCAGGGGTGAAGTTATATGAGATCCAGACTAGACCAGACTAGGCGCAATATTTGTCCTGCATGGACATCAGTGGATTATGAGCAGGGATAAAGTTATATGAGATCCAGACCAGACCAGACCAGACCGGATCAGACCAGGCACAATATTTGTCTTGCATGGACAGCAGTGGATTATGAGCAGGGATGAAGTTATGTGACATTCGAGACCAGATCAGATCAGACCAGGATAGACCAGGCACAATATTTGTGCTGCATGGGCAGCAGTGGATTATGAGCAGGGATGAAGTTATATGCGATCCAGATCGGACCACACCACCAGACCAGACCGGATGTGATGTTTGTCGGGCATGGACGGCAGTGAATTATGACCAGGGAAGAAGTTATATGAAATCCAGACCAGAGCAGACTAGACGAGGTGCAATGTTTGGAAACTCGTGATTGATTGGAAATCTGTCTATCCTGCCCTGTTTATGGATCGTCTAATCAAAGCGTAGGGCACTGCCCTGTTTACGGATCGTCTAATCAAAGCGTAGATGGTGCCTGTCGTCCTGATTGTTGATCTGATGTTGATTTGTGCACGAACCCAAGGCCACTGAGCAAGCCAAGAGCAGACTACTGCTCGGAAGTGGAGCTCGGAGAGGCTCAATGGATTAATTGCGACATTCGGACGTTCAACATGAGTATACTAGGCCAGGTACGTACACGTTCGACAGCTATGGTTTGACCCGAGCATGGCCGTTGTCTCTTGACTTGGTGTTGCGACTCAGAAACTACCTCATACGACTTAGGCGTGCTTGTGGAAGATGGCAGTTGTTGCTGAAACTCTCGGGGCATTCGTGAAGAACAGCCGAAGCCGGGTAATGGCCTCGGTATCTCAAATTATTCTGTATGTTTTCAGGAGGGACGCCAGGCACGGTTCCCAGCACCTGTGGCTCCCCACGAATAGACTGGAGCTTTGGCCTTTCCCCCATAAGTATGGTGGGTGAATTAAATAAGTACGGGGGGGAGGGCAGAGTGGAGTGGCCTGCCTTGCCCCTACCTCCATAAAAGTACACGTTGATGACGCAAAAGAAGTTGTGGTCACACTCAACACTGTTGGAGAAACACTGGCTGAGGAAAGGAGTTGTGCATATGTGCGTGTGTGTGTGTGTGTGTGTGTGTGTGTGTGTGTGTGTGTGTGTGTGTGTTGCTATGTTTCAAGCTATCCGGAAGGGTATCTTTCAGGTCCCTTTTTTTTTTTTTTTTTTT